GGTGGCTCTTTTTATTAGAGCCATGGGGACTGGGAGAAAGTGCAGTTGGTAAGGAGGCTGCCTTGTTTGCTGCCAGCCCTAATTCGATTCCTGGCACCCCTTATGGTTCCCTGAGCACCATGAATTTCACTTCTGAGCACAGAGCCAGAAATATTTACCCTACCCCAAGCATCACAGTATGTGCCCCCCAATCCCCGCCCCCCCCAGAATAAAGGCTGTCAATGATTTGTTTGTTTGTTGGAGGACACACCTGACTGTGCTTAGGGCTTACCCCCACCTCTGTGTTCAAGGATTACCCCTGGAGGTGCTCAGGGACTATATGGTGTGCTGGGGATTGAACCCAAGTCTACCATATATAAGGCAAACTCCTTACCTGCTGTACTATTTTATCCAGCACCAAGAGTCATCAGTCTCTAAGCCTGTCCCTGAAGGGGCGAGAGGACCAGAAAGGAGAATGTTCAACTGCAGCAGGTATAGATGTTGGGCCACAAGACTCAGTCCTGGAAAGAACCAGCTAGGTCTGAGGCTGGGTGAATGAAGGCTGGGTGAAAAGGGCTTCTGAGATGCACAGGGCTCTACAAGGGGACCCCTCTGAACAAAACCTTCCCCAAACTCTGTTCCTGCCAAAGAAGTGAAGACGTCCGGTGCTGAGTGAGAGAAACTGCTCTTCCCCAAGGGAGAGAGAGCCATCACCTGCCCTTTCTGCCCTTCTCACAAGGAGTTTCCTGATTCTTTTTTTTTCTTTTTGGGGTCACACCTCACTATACTCAGGGGTTAATCCTGGCTCTGTACTCAGATATTACCCCTGGTGGTAATCAGGGTACAATATGGGATGCTGGGAATTGAACCTGGGTCAGCCGCGTGCAAGGCAAACGCCCTACACGCTGTGCTATTGCTCCAGCCCCAGTTTCCTGATTCTCGTTTGCTTATTTCCAGTGCTCTCACACAGGAAGCCAAGTGCTGTCCCATGGAGCCACACTCCTGGACTTCACCTGTCCCGCCTGTAGCTGTCCTCCTAATCTGTGGGAGACGGTTTTCGATTTGGCAGATGCTGAAGGGTTAAAAGCCCTGAATGGATGCTAGCGACAGAGCCAACAGAGCCTAAGTGATTTGGGTTCCTTTTGCTTCCCCTCCATGTCTTACTGCGTTGTAGCTTTTACCAACGGGATTCTGTTTCTCGCTTAGATCACAGGCCCTACGTGGGCAGAGAGACACTGATCATGAGTGTGGCTGTAACCATGGCTGGGGGAAATGAAATGAACTTGAGCAGATGCTGACTCTTTCTTGCAACTCCTTCCACTTTGCCTCCAACTATCTCAAAAGTGTGTTTCTTCCCTTTACTGACTTCTGTCATCGGACTCACTCACTGCATATGCAGAGAGCTTCTGAGGACAGACAGTCTGGAGAGCAAAATAAAAATAGCCAGTCGCTCGATAATAGAATGGGAAGGTCTCTGAGCACGGAGGGGGAGGGGACGAGTGCTCGGGCCAGCTGGAAAGGAAGGAGGCGGGTGGAGGCAGCCTGAAAGCTCTGCTCTAGGACGGGCAGGTGTCTCCTCCTGGGCAGTGGAGGGCAGAGTTCCAAAGGGTCAGCATTCCACTTCTGTGCTGTCTTGGCCAGTGCTCAGTGGAGACTCCTGTACCCTGAAAAACAGGCTGGCTGGACACTCACTGTGAGGTCTGAAGTGAGGCACCTACCTGTAAGAGAATGGTACACAGCATCCCTAGCCCATGGACAGCACTTGTTTGTTTTCCTGATGTTTTTCGAAGTTGGATGAAGAGGTGTTTGGGCCATACCGGGTTGTGCTCAGGGCTTACTTCTGGCTCTGTGCTCAGGGTTCATTCCTGGCAGTGCTGGGGATAGAATAGAATTCGAATAAGGCACTTGCTTTACCCACTATTTTATATCTTTAGATCCTTGCTTTCTGTTTGTGTGTGGGGGTTGGGGCAGGGGGGAGGGTGGTGGTGGTAGTGGAGCACACGCCACAGTGCCCCAAGCTACTCCTGACTGCTATTTGTGGGTCCATTGTGAACAGTGCTCAGGGTATGATGTGGTGCCATTGTTGGTGTCATGGATCAAACCCAATTTCCTGCATGTAAAGCTGTGTTCCAGCCTGTTGGGTTCTCTTCCCAACAGTGCTTGACTTCCTTCCTTCCTTCCTTCCTTCCTTCCTTCCTTCCTTCCTCCCTCCCTCCCTCCTCTTTCCTTTCTTTCTTTCTTTCTTTCTTTCTTTCTTTCTTTCTTTCTTTCTTTTCTGTGGAGGTGGAGCCACATTTAGTGGTGCTCAGGGCTAATTTCTGCCTCTTCACTTAGGGATTACTCCTGGCAGGTTTGGGGGACCATATGGAGTGTCAGGGATTGAATTTGGGTGCGTCACTTGCAAGGCAAACACCCTACCCACTCTAATATCACTCCGGCCCCCTCCACCAGTGGTTTCTTTCTTTCTCTCTTTCTCTCTTTCTTTCTTTCTTTCTTTCTTTCTTTCTTCTTCCTTTCTGTCTTTCTTTTTTTCTTGGGGGGGCACACATAGCTGTGCTCAGGGCTGACTCCTGGTGGGAGTGGTCAGGGGACCATGGTGGATGCTGGGAATCAAACTAGGGTGAGCCACATGTCAGGCAAACACCTTCCCCAGCAGTGCTCTCTCAAAGAAGGCCTCTGCCACCTGCCTCCTCCCACTACACCAAGACTGTTCCTCTGGCTCATATATAGATTCTTTCTGGCTCATGCTGATAGCTTCTTTTATTTGCAAACAGTGTACCAAAAGAAGAATAAACTCAAGTGCTTGTGTAGGGAAGAGAGTAAAGACAATGGCATCTCCAGGGCTGGGGGAGAAAACTTGCTCTGAGACCTAGGGATCAGCCTGGTACCTACCTTTTGCAGTTATTCTGAGGCCGTTTGTCTCTGCTGTTCCCTAACTCGTGTGGGCAGCTGTGGTCTCCCCTGCACCCCTGAGCCCTTGGCACTATGTCCATCCATAGATGCCCACTGACAGTGAGATCAGTCGGGCCAGGAAGTAGCCTGTCATTGTTCAGCCTGGTGCTGCACCTCTCAGCGCCTTTCCACATTCAGACACCACCACGACCATTAAGGGGTTAGGGGCTCGGTCCTGGAAGGGCAGGCAACAATAACACCAGCAGCTTTGTAGCCAAAGAACATTCGCAAAGAATTGTCCTAGGCCAGGGATGTTGCTTGTCTTAGAACACTTCCTTGGTTGTAGGAGATCCTGACCTCAATCCCTAGCATAGGAGAAGAAAAGAAAGAATTGTTTTTTTTTTTCCAAGTTCAGTGCCTATTAGCTGGTCTCACACCTAGGTGGAATGGTACGGGATTATCATCTTTTTAATCGGGAGTGGGGGGTCACACCCAGAGGTGCTGGGGTGGAAAGTCATTCCCAACAGTGCTGCTGGGGGACCATACGCTTTGGACTGAGCCCAGAGATCCTACATGCAAAGCTGCAGCCCTTTGAGTAATTTCTCATGTGTTAACATTATTATTTGGGGTCGGGAGAAGCAGACCAGGTGGTCAACACAGCAGGGCTTTTCTCCGCTTGGTGCTCAGGGGACTATGCAGTGCTGTGGATCAAACCTGAGCATGCTAAGCCTGTGCTTACCCCTTAAGCCATTTCCCAGGTATCAGTGTTCTTGTCCCCCATTTCACAGATAAAGAAACTGCAACTGAGAGACATTACAACTTGCCTTGCCGAAAGTCACACAGCCTTCTTTTTCCTGGTTTTGTTTTATTTTTGGGTTTGGGACCATACCTGGTGTTTTTTCAGGACTCACTCTCAATGATAGTGAATGGCCCAGGGGCTCAGGCTGAGCCTCTCACAGCATAAACAAATAAAACCAGCCCATGAGTTATCTCTTGGGCATAGAGTCAAACATTTAAGCTGAGACTGAAAGGGCGCCTGATTTGGGTCTATGCCCAAGTTCTTCACCAGTCACCCTAGAATAGTATAACACTGTTTTTCCCTTATCGTGTTTGGAACCACACCCAAGTGGTGATCAGGGTCTAATCTCAGCTCTGTAGTCCGGGGTGGCTCCCCGGGATGCTCTGGGTACCAACTGATATTGGGTGTGTGGAGGTGTGGGGGGCGTGGTCCTATTCTGGCCTCTTGCAGGTAAAGCATGTGCTCAGACCCCTGAGCCACCTCTCCAGCCCCTGAGTGTTTTATTCTCTTCACTCTACATGCAGGGCTTTCTCAGAGCATGGGACAAGTAAATGCTGGGCGCACAGTATGTGTTTGTGTCCTAATGCAATGGGCCTAGGTAAGTACGGGTCCGTTCACAAGCGCGCATTTGACATCCTCAGTCCCCACATTATTTCCGCTCTGCTCCTGGAGGCCAAGGCCAAAGACAACCTGGGCTTGAGGGGCGGGGGGCGGAATCTTCTGGCTTTGGGACACGATCGGCGGAAACCTCCGGCCAAACCAGCTCTGAAAGCCTCCCTCAAAAGCCCGCAAGTTCCCTTTTCCCTATCAGGAAAAGCATTTTCTGGTCCCACGCGCGCAAGGCGGGCGCTGCATACCCGCCTGGAGAAGGGCCACCCGCCCGGAGCCGCGGACCGCGGGCGGCCGCGAAGGAATCTCAGAAGCGATGCCCGGCCGGGCTCCCTGCCAGGCCCGGCGCGGCGGGCGGCGCGGGTGGGCACGCGACGCCGAGACGGCGGAGAGGCGGGCGGGGCCCGGGCGGCGCGCGCGAGGGCGGGGCGGGCGCCCGCGGCTCCCGCGCTCCCCCGCCGCTCCACCTTAAGCGCCCGGACGCCCTTAAGCCCGGGCGCTGGAGCCGCGCGTCCGGGGGCGGGGCCTGCCATGCAAATGAGGGGCGTGGGCCGGCGGGGCGGGGCGCTGTCTTGACGTCAGCCCCGCGGCCCGGGCAGTTGGCTCGGCGGCGGCGGAGCGGTAGGAGCGGCGGCGCGAGCGGGGCCGCGCGGCGGGGCGCGAGCGGCGGCGGCGGCGGCGGCGGCGCGGCGGCGGCGGCAGCGGCGGCGGCGGCGGCGGCGGCGGCCGAGCCGGAGCAACATGGCGCCGGTGGGCGGGGGCGGGCGCCCGGGCGGCGGGCCGGCCCGAGGGCGCCTCCTCCTGGCGGCGGCGCTGGTGCTGCTGTGGGCGCGGGGGGCCGGGGGCCAGGGCGACCCCCAGCGAGCGGCGATCCTGGGCATGAGGCTGGCGAGCTGCAACAAGTCGTGCGGGATGGACCCGGATGGCATCATCTTCGTGTCCGAGGGCAGCACGGTGGTCCTGAGGCTCTACGGCCACCGGCTGGGCTCCATCTCCAGCAACCTCATTTCCTTCACCGAGCTGGACAGCTACGAGAGCTCCCACAACTCCACCAGCTGCCCCGAGCTCACCAAGGACCTGGTGGTGCAGCAGATGGTCAACGTGAGCCGCGGCAACACGTCCGGGATGCTGGTGGTGCTCACCAAGTTCCTGCGGAGGAGCGAGAACATGAAGCTGTACGCGCTGTGCACCCGCGCCCGGGCCGACGGGCCCTGGCAGCGCTGGATCGACAAGGACTCGCTGCTCTACATGGTCGAGGAGGCCGGGCGCTTCCTGCCCCTCTGGCTGCACGTCCTCCTCATCCTGGTGCTGCTCGTGCTGTCCGGCATCTTTTCTGGCCTCAACCTGGGCCTCATGGCCCTGGACCCCATGGAACTGCGCATCGTGCAGAACTGCGGTACCCAGAAGGAGCGGCGCTATGCGCGCAAGATCGAGCCCATCCGGCGCAAGGGCAACTACCTGCTCTGCTCGCTGCTCCTGGGGAACGTGCTGGTCAACACGTCCCTCACCATCCTGCTCGACAACCTCATCGGGTCCGGCCTCATGGCCGTGGCCTCGTCCACCATTGGCATTGTCATCTTCGGGGAGATCTTACCCCAGTCCCTGTGCTCCCGGCACGGGCTGGCGGTGGGGGCCAACACGATCATCCTCACCAAGTTCTTTATGCTCCTCACCTTCCCCCTCAGCTTCCCCATCAGCAAACTCCTGGACTTCGTCCTGGGCCAGGAGATTCGCACCGTTTACAACCGGGAGAAGCTGATGGAGATGTTGAAGGTGACCGAGCCCTACAATGACCTGGTGAAAGAGGAGCTCAACATGATCCAGGGCGCCCTGGAGCTCCGCACCAAGACCGTGGAGGACATCATGACGCAGCTCCACGACTGCTTCATGATCCGCAACGATGCCATCCTGGACTTCAACACCATGTCGGAGATCATGGAGAGTGGCTACACCCGCATCCCCGTCTATGAGGACGAGCAGTCCAACATCGTGGATATTCTGTACGTCAAAGACCTGGCCTTCGTGGATCCCGATGACTGCACGCCCCTCAAGACCATCACCCGCTTCTACAACCACCCCGTGCACTTCGTCTTCCATGATACCAAGTTGGATGCTATGTTGGAGGAGTTCAAGAAGGGTAAGGCCTGGTCCAGCGCCTCTCGGTAACCTTTGCAGTTGCCTCTCTACAATTCTTGCTTGTCTTGTGTCAGCTGATCTTAATGTTCTCTGCATGTGACTCGTCCCTCTGCCCATAACTTCTGCTGTCTCTGAGCCGAACTGTAGTTGGGGCAGCAAAGACAGTTTCCTCGCTGTCTGCTGTCTGTTAGCTGCTGAGCTCTGTGCTTCAGGGGAGTCAAAGCTAAGGTGAGACACGCTCGCCGGCTTGGATGACTGGAGGGAGGCCCCAGAGGCAGGCAGGTGTCTGGAGAGACCACCACCAGGCATGGAGAGAAGCCTGGGCCTCCCTGGCTGGGTGGGGTGGGGAAGGCGCTGGGGAGCCTGAAATGGGAAGGCCTTCATAGGGCAGGGAGCACTTGGAGAGAACCTTTGCCAGGTGGGGACACTTGGTGCTTGTGGCCTAGAGGACCCCAGGAGTTCGAGAACCTGATGGAAGGGGCTTGGGGGAGGATAGATGATACACTTGTGGTGCAGCTGGGGACCCCATTCAGCAGTGTGTAGGCTCAGATCAGGAGTGCCTGTGTTATTTGGGGGTTCAGTGGTGAAGAGCCCGAAGAGTGAGGCTGGTGGATGTGCTGGGAGCTGAGGGGGGTTTTGAGCAGGAGTGTGACGTCCCCCGAGCCCCCAGGCGCCGCATGTCTCATCTGAAGGCTTCTAGTCGGCTCCCCTCGTCGAGCAATGCCAAGTCATGCTTTCTAGCAGCAGCAGAAAGCAGCAGGCGCGTCGGTTTGGGTTTTTGTTCAGGCTCTCCCGGGCGCCAGCCTCCTGTGGTCTGCTGGGACTCCTCAGCTGGCTTGCCTTGTTGCCTGGTGTTTTTTTCTCACCCGAATTCTTGGCCCGGTCTCAGGTAGTTAAGAGAGGCGCACAGAGGGTTTACCCACCGGCCTCAAGGCACACACCCCTTTCCTGACTTCCCACCCAACTTTCCTCCCACCTCTGCCACTGTGAAGCCCTCAGTCTCAGTAAACAAGCCAATTATGGAGTAAAAGCGTCCTAGGCCAAAGGGAGTGAGGAGGCAGAAAGGGAAGCGAGGGTTTGCTAAGGGCATGGGGGAGGGGAAGGAGTGCATCCTAGAGCCACAGCCAGGACCACGTTGGGCCAAGACTGTTTTGGCTCCAGCTGGGTTCTGGGTACCTGGGAGTGGTGCCCCTCTGTCCCCAACTCCCCACGGCCTCGTCCCTCATTTCTGGAGTAGAGCAGAGAGCCTGGAGCAGACTGGACTCCTGGGATGATGGAACGGAGCAGGGAGGAGCTGCACGGCCGGGGTTGATGAGAAAAGATGTTCAGCCACCACCCACCAGGAGAGAGCTTGAGCACCTTCTTACTTCAGTTTGTCAAAGTGAGCCTCAGCAGCAGAACTAGAGGCAGAAGTAAGAAGTGTGAGTAGGAGAAGCCTCTGGAAGGCACCCTGAGTGCTGAGAGCACTGGAGGGACTTGGGTGTCTGTTGTTGATGGAGGGCATGAGAGCTTGGGGTGCAGGCCCGGGTACCAAGCCTGGCATGGAAGAGCAGTGTTTTGGAGCTTCGTCCCACACCCCCACCCCACACCCCCTGCAGCCTCCTGGCCTTGACAATTTCTGCCTGTTGGCTGGTCAGGAGTCTGGTTAGAATGCTGGGCACTGGGCAGTTTCTTCTCCCCATCTCTGGGGCTTAGGGCCGGGTGCTAGTGACACACTCTGTCCACACATTTCCTTTGTCCAGCTGGTCTGGAGCCAACCTGGATAGATGGGCTTGGCCAAACTCCTGAGACCTGCCCAGAAAGGCTGAACTCTCGGTGGAGTGGAAGCTCCTCAGGACTGTCTTTGTCTTTTGAACTTTTTAGGGTTTTTTTTTTTCTATTTTGGTCTAAGCACCCAGCAAGCTTGGGGCTTATAGTAGTGCTGCTGGTGGTGGTGGGGGGTAACCACACAGTGCCAGGGACTGAACCCAGACTTCCTGCATGCAGAGCATGTGCTCCAGCCTGTTGAGCTGTCTCCAGCCCCGGACTCTCTTTTTTGGCTTCTCGGCCACACCAGGTGGTGGTGGTGCTCAGGGGTTACTCCTGGCTCCGCACTCAGGGATCGCTTCTGGTGGGGCTTGTTGGAACCTGGGATAGAACCCAGGTTGACCGTGTGCAAAGGCAGGTGATAGTACTCGCTGTACCATCCCTCCAGCCCCGGCCCTGTATTCTCTGTCCTAAAGCTGGGAAACAGAAACCCCGTCACACCTGATAGCTTGTAGTGGACTCTCCTTATCACAGTCCCCTGAAGGGGACACTCAGGAGTCCCTGGAAAGGCAGGCAGGCTTTTGGAGATTTGAGAGTGTTTTGGTGGTCCCTGCTAATGAGCGCACTCTGGGGCTTCATAGTGTCGCTTCCTTCTGGATAGATTAAAATCTGAGGTCATCTGGGGCAGTAGCTTTCTATCTTTTCACACCTGCAGACCAGTCGACCAGCTTGAAAACCAGCGGTCTGGGTTCACGGTCTTCAGCCACCACTTAGCATGTATAGAAAGGTGGAAACCACCATTGGGGCCAGAGAGATAATGCAGTGGGTAGGGCACTTGCCTTGCATCAGCCAGCTCTTGTTTGATCCCCGGTACAGATAGGGTTCCCCCAAGTGTGGGGGTCACTCCTATCACCAGGAGTGACCCTTGAGCACTACTGAGTGTGTCCCCCAAACTGCAGCCCCCCCCCAAATAAAAGGAAAATAAAGACACTGGTCTGTCTTGGCTGTGACTAGTGGTATGTAAGCAGGACAGGTGCTGGTCGGCAGTGAAGAATGCTGGGCCAGTATGTTACACTCCATGTACATCTGCCACATAGATTTTCTTTGTGGATATGGTATTTGAAGGACCTTGTTTGTAGCTAAGAAAAGCAACCGAGCGAGGTGAACAGCAGCGTCCCCACCAGCTCTGGGGCTTCTGCATCTAAGTGGGGTCTTTGCTCTGCTCCTGCACACCTCCGGGGTAAGTGTGGACCCAGCTCGGCCAGAATCTTTCTGCTCTGTGCAGAATCGTCCCCCCAGTTCCTGTCATTTCCTAACAGCTCTGCAGATTATGAATTTATTGCGATGATTGTGTCCTCCCGCATAATATAAGTTCCAAAGGGCCTGGCTCTTCATTTTGCTCTTCATTCACTGCTGTCTCCCTAGTCCCTTTGGGGACATGGGAAGAGCTCAAAGTTTGGGCATGGGTGAAGGGCTTGTCCGTTTTTTTTTTTTTTTGTTTTATTTGTTTTATTTTTTGGGTCACACCTGGAGATGCTCAGGGGTTCCTCCTGGCCCTGCACTCAGAAATAACTCCCGGCGGTGCTTGGGGGACCCTAAGGGATGTCAGGCATCGAACCAGGGTCAGCCATGTGCAAGGCAAATGCCTGCCCCGCCCCCCTCCCCCCCCCCCCCCCCCCCCGTACTATTGCCCTGGCTCCCAGGGTTTGTCAGGTTTGAGAGAGAATTGGTCCTCTTCCAGAAGTCTTAGAATTTTGAGGCACTGAGAAGGATCCAGAACAGCAAGCGCTAGGCTGATGTGCTGGGACTTGCCATTGGCTGCCGTGGACTCTGAGCAGCAGCCCTGCAGACCCAGTGCTCGTGTTCTGGGGTCCCCAGCAGCAGAGTGTGGGGTCTAGAATATGCTGCACGGTCCTTTGGACACTCTCTAGCATGAGTTGAGTCTGCTTTTTGTTGTTGTTGTTGTTGTTCTTGGTTGGCTATTTGTTTTTGCACCACACCTGGTGTTGCTGAGGCTTCCTTGGGTCTGTGCTCAGGGGTCACTCCTGAGGGGCTGTGGGGGGTGCCGGGGATAGAACCCAGATCAGCGGCATGCACCTCAAGTGCTCTACCCGCTGCACTATGGCTCCGGCCCCTGATCATGAGAAGTTTGTACCATGTCCTTCACTGCCTTGATGCAGGCCTGCTGCTGCTCAGAGTCTGTGCAGGTGTGTGTGACCAGGCTTTCCCTGGAGACTGAGGCCAGGGGGCTGCGGCTTCCCAGCTGCCTCCCCACCAGGGCCTATGACAGTCACTGTGTGGGGAAGTCTGCTGTGCTGGAGTGAGGTGGTCAGCGAGAGTAGGATCTGGAGATCCCCGAGACTCACCTGATGACTGGGTCTCACTGGTGTTCAGGGGACCCTCTGTGGTTTGAGAGTTGAACCCTGGTTGGATGCTCAGGAGCATCTAAGGCAAATGCCTGACTCTTGGTATTTATTGGCCCCTGGTTAATTTTTGTTTGTTTGGGGGCTACGCCCAGTGGCTCTGTCCTCCTGGGTCTCTTCCTCAAATCAGTGTGGGGGTGGGGCCCGCAACCCCTGTGGCCTGAGTCTGTTGACTTCTCTATCCTGCTGTGAACACATTAGAGCCCGGATCCTTTGAGTTGAACTCTGCCTGGAACAGTTTGTCCTGTTGGGGGTTTATCTCTGACTTAGTTTCTTAAAGCAGGCTCCGAGTCTACTCCTGTTCCAGTTGCCTGTTTTCTTCATTGCAGACGCCCTCCTAGGCTCTGGAGGCCCAGGGCCGAAACCCACCTTCCCGCTTCCCAGCTTTCCACTGAGCTCTTCCTTCTGGAACATTTCCTGTCCCTCCTACGCACTTAGCCCCATCTTATCTTTCCCCACCCACTTTATAACCTCCTAGCCCCTTGGATGAGCTGGGTTTGAGTTCCACTCCGCCTGGTCATGGCCCATAAGGTGACCTTGGACTTATGACCTGTGGCAAGCTCGAGGATTATAAATGGGAGGGGAAAATGCTAGAAATATTTTGGTTTAAAAATTCCTTCTGTGGGGGCTGGAGCAGTAGTACAGTGGATAGGGCATTTGCTTTGCACTGAGTTTGATCCCTGGCACCCCCATATGGTCCCCCAAGTCTTCCAGAAGTGATCCCTGAGCACAGAGCCAGGGGTAAGCTCTGAGTACTGCTGGGTTTGGTTCCCCCCATTTCCCCCCTAAAAAATACCCCAAGAAACAAAACCCAAAACTCCTTCCAGGGATT